ATCTGAGAAGATTGTCTTTTCTTTGGTATTGGTATTCTTTTATTTGAATAAAAGAGGACAGCATTAAGTAGCAGCACCAAAACTTTCGGCTGCTGGACCCATGTCCATTGTGTACTTTTATCAGCACACATTTGCGACACCTGGTAATCTCACCTGTCGCGGCAAGCTCGTGCATGGGCAGAGGGCATCTTCGTCTCTTTTGTCCTCTCTCTCCATCCCTTCCTGCCCCGCCAACTCTCGATTCCCTTTCTACTTGAAAAAGCTCTCATTCCATTTTTCTTCTGTTTTCTCCTTTTAAAATCTTTTTTCCCCTTCTTTTCCTTTCCCTTTCATCTTGTGTTCCCTTTCCCATTTGAAATAGATCTCTTGATTTTCTCTTATCTATCGTTATTTTGCCTTTTATTTATATTTTTAATTTTTTTCAGATAAGAGAAACCATGTTATATTTATTTATGTGTTATGTATTTGGTCCAGGGTCTCACTACATAGCTCGGAGTCAGTGATCCTCCTGTCTCAGCCTCCCTAGCATTGGGATTACAGGCATGTGCCACCATGACCGGCATTCATGTGGTATATAAACTCTGTATCTGGTTTATTTTACTTAACATTCTGGTCTCCAGGTGTACCCATTTACCTACAAAAGCCCCAAGTACGGCACTACGATTCCTGACTTGAAATTATACTACAAACCTACTGTGATAAAATCAGCATATTACTGGCAATGAAATAGACCTGAGGATCAATGGAATAGATTAGAAGACGCTGAAGCCTCCAAGAACACACTCAGCCACCTTATCGTCAACAAAGGGGCTAAACATGATTACTGGAAGATAGTCTCTTTAACAAATGGTGCTGGAAAAATTGGCTCTCTACATGCCGAAAACTAAAACTTGCCCCAGGTCTATCACCATGCACTAAACTAAAGTCAAAATGGATTAAAGAACTGAACATTAAAACAGAAACACTAAATCTCCTGGAAGAGAAAATAGGAGGAACTCTTGAAGACAGAGGGTTAGGCAAAGAGTTTGTGAACAAAAATCAAATTGCACGGGAAATACTTGAGAAAATTAACAACTGGGACTTCCTCTTATTGAGAAGTTTTTGCACATCAAAAGAAATTATCAACAAATGAAAAGATAACCCACAAATTTAGAAAAAAAA